ATTAGAGGAAAGACATGATATTTACTGTTGAATTGAAGCAAGCCCCTTATAGACTTTTTGTAAGACGCAGAAAATAATCAAGTATGACTTACAGATTTGATAATTAGACAGAAATAGGTAATAAAATAAAGAGAATGTTTTTGTAATCATAGAGTAAAAGGTATTTTTATTTGTAATTATACTTGCTGAAAAGGAAATCAGCAACTTCGTGTTTTTTTGTTTGCATTTTTCTTTTTCACTGTTCTTTCTCTTTTCTTTTTACTTTGTATTCTTGTTTTTATATTGTTTAAATTTTTAATAAAAATTATACATATATAAAATGTAAACATTTTAGTTGAAATCAAAATATTACACACAGCTAACTATGGTAGATAATAAATTGCCCTATGCTAAGCTGAAAACTATTGAATGCATGTATCAACCACCATTTAATAGGCAGAACCATTTTTAATTGGATGGACTTGCTATGATAGTTTACACAACTACTAGTTCTCTCTTTCTCTCTCTCTGAAATTTTTCACTTTGCTATTACATCTTGACTTTATATTACATTCTCCTTGAAAAAATTCTAATATTTCATGGTATGCTAATCATTAATGTTTATTTACATTCTCATTGATAATTGCTCAGAGCTGTAGAGGTGTTTTGGGGGGAAAACTGGATGTATATCTATTCCATATTCTCAATGCGGTACATTGAACATGATTTTTAAAATCTATATTAATCTTAGTTTTATCATATGACAAATAATCATGCCATCCAAATCATAAACTCTCTCATCTAGCTCCAGCTCCAAAAGCATTTTATTTCTCAGCAATGCCCACTCTCGCCTAACAAAACAGTAAGCAGCAAAATCCTATTTTAAGTCAGGTAAACCCAGTTCTGCTCTTTCTGTAGGAGAAGAGTCAGAGTCAAAAGGCCAATCAACCTGGAGTTGTCAAGTTCTCACAGTTGGTCCAAGTCCAGCTCCTCTTGACTTCTGTCAACTTTTATGTAGGGCCAATTTAGTGCTGACTGTTAGTAGACTAGATTCTTGTTTACAGACATGAGCAATAAATCAGCTTAACTGGAACTTAACAGTGAACCTGATTCTTCAAGCCTGACATTAATCAATTAAGAAGGAGAGGCAGAACCTGGAGGCAGAGTCAAGAGAGGAATCAGCACTAAATTGGTGCTTAGAATTCAAGATGGGCTGCCCTTGGACAGCTTTTGTGGACGTAGTGTGACTCCAGGCTGATTTCTCTCTTGACTCTGCTTCCATGCTCTGCCTCTTCTTCTCCTACACTTTGCTCTGCAGGTTGTAATACATTATATTTAACTTAGTGGCTTTCCCCTTTTTATACAAGTGTAGATATGTCCTGCTATGGATACAGGGGTGCTTCAACTCCCCCGTTCAGCTTATTTTCCTCATTTATGTCCTTTGGACTCCCAGCATTCTGAGGCCCCTGCCAGGCCATTGCTGTCGTCTTGTTGCCACTGCTAACCAAGCATGCCTGGCCTGACTCTCTTTGTGAGGCAGCTGCTAGCCACACGAGGTTTTTTTCTTTGGGAAGTTTCTTCATAAGACATGGGGGAGATGGCCTCATGTGGCCAGCATCTGCCTTGTGAAAGGCCAGAGTGGGTATGCCTAGTCAACAGTGGGAGTAAGAAGATGGCAAATATCAGCTGGGGTGACAGAGCTCAGGACAGCAGGCGCCCTGGAGGGGTGAGGATGAGCCACATGCTGGGGCCAAGGTTTATGCTATGAAGGGCTTTGCTGTGTGCTGGGGATCATGGTGTAATGGAATGTGGATGATCTTGGGGACAGTCAGACAAGAGAGGCAGGAGCTCCTAATAGATTAACAGTCAGAGGAAGAAAACTTAGGAAGGACCTGCCGTAATGGATCAAACAGTTAAAAGTGGCAATGGGAAGTTTGTTCTTTCAGATGTGCAAGAATCTGTTAATGTGACGTTACAGTAAGAATTAGCTGACCTATCGGGATTCATTTCTGATTTACTTGGGAGGATGACATAGAGCTTTTTAGCAGGCCCAGAGTTCTGCTGTGCCAAGAAATCTCTTTGTATTGTGCTGCTAGGCTGGGTTGGAACTGGGCTTCATGTTGTGAAGAGCTTTGTGTGACAGCTCAGGGGTTTGTTGCAGCTCCAGACCTTTGGTGTGACAAGAAGTCCCTAAGCAGCAGCATGTCAAACAGCCTAGAGACTTGTATGCCATATAGGATGTGGGCAAGGGTTTTAACATCAAAGAGTTTTAATGCTGCCAGTATTATCCACCTTAATAAAAAAAATATCTTGATGTTGGTGAACATTCTTCAAGCCAACTGTGGTAAATTCAAAGCAACTGTATTCCAGGTTCACGCAGATACCCTCTACGATCTAAGGAAAATATAATGTTTGGCTTTTTCTGCTTTGAATCTGAAATATTGCATAGCCTTAAAATTACATGCAGAGCCAGTTTGATGTAGTGATTAAGCCAACAGATTAGAAATCAGGAGATCATGAATTCTAATCTCTGTTTAGGCATAAAACCATCTGGGTGACCTTGAGGCAGCCACTCATTCTCAGCCCTAGGAAAGAGGCAATGGCAAATCATTTTTTTAAAAATAACTTTGCTAAGAAAACTGCAGAGATTAGTCTAAGCAGTTACCAGGATTCAACACCAGCTTGAAGGCATATATATATTTCTTATGACTGTTATACAGAAGCTGCCATATTCACTTCAAAATAATAACTCCGTTTTTCAAGAATTTCTTATTAAATTATCTAGAAAAGTATTTCTCAACAACAAAATGAAGTAGGAAAAAATATAACAAAAGGACTGCAAAGTGCTTTCCATGTGTTTAAAGTTATATTGTACAGAGCTATATTGTAAAGACAATGAATAATGTTAGTACATAATAAATATTCTCTTGTCATCTTCTACACATAACTTAAAACTTGATTATCTTTTGGTGAAATTCCTGGGATAGAATCCAAGAGTGATTTTGAGAAGACTCAAAGGCACATGGCAAGCTATATGAGAAAAGAAAGTAGAAGGAAGTCCTATTGGCCAAACAGACATATACTCACATAAAATCTACCCCAAATTTTCCTATGGAGCTACTAGGATACTAAATACATTATATCCTATCATTATTTTCTGAAATTCTAGAATAGATTTAGGAATGTTATCCTGTAAATAAACTGGAGTTCACATATTTATTTAATTAACATGCTTTGCAAAAGCATGTCAATCTTTAATAAGCCAAATATAACTTTATTTATAAGTACATATTTGTTTGTTATTCTATAAATGTATGTAATTAGTGCTTTAATGAGGTAGGAGCTAAAAGTCACAAAATATCAACTGCTGCAACTCTTGCAAAATAACAATATAGGGGAGGACTAATAGGAGATGACAGTGAATAAGCATGCTCATTAATGCAAAATTTTAAAAGGTCCATTAAAAATGGAAAATAGAGAGTGAGAGTGAAATGAAATATTCAAGAGAGAATGAAGTAGGCTGAAAACTTGAAAAGAAGGATTTCAGTATTTTATTAGTATACACTGCAGTGTTTCATTCTGGATACACTGTTGGTCAGCGATTTGTATATATTTTTCCAATTATCATTAATATTCTTTTTTAAAGCTGTCTCCTTAAACTTTGAGGCTTAAATAAATAAGTGGTGGACTGTTGGCAACATGTTGATCCCCTATAGATATCTTAATCTCCTTAATGACCAGAAGAAAATTCTGGGTTCATAGAGTTTCATCACTATATGAATTTTGTGAAACTTCAGGATTGAAGTTTATAATGAAGTGAAACTTCATTATGTAGTAATTTTTTTCAATATGAATGTTCATTAAAGTACATTTCTCTATAAGTTCTAGATTGCTTTTCCTGCATCTGCTTCATGTCTTTCAAGTAAAAGTGTACTTTCACTTTTTATCCTCATACTTATGGCAGCTCATGTTAATTCCCCCCCCCCTCAAGTTGACTATGGATGGTAACAGTGTTAATCTAACAAATCTGAAAAGCCCCAAGTAATGGAAATCTATAGTTATCTCATGATTACCTGGATAATACTTTGATATATTTTTTTTAGCTGCTGGGTGAGGGGATATAATTTTATCCAGTCATGCACTACTCTTATCTAATCAAATATTATCTATTCGATTTCATACTGTAAATAATAAAAACCTGTTTCTACAATTTCCTCATGCATTAATTAATTAATTAATTAATGTATTTTTTGCCATTGAAATATGTTCAATTCTCAGAGAATTGCCTTGAGAAGTCCCTGCAATTTTTTTTACAAGATTTTTCTAAAATGGTTTACTCTTGCCTTCTGAGAGGTCTGAGGGATGATGACTGTAGCCCAAGGTCACCCAGCTGGCTTTGTGCCTAAAACAGGTCCAGAAATCATAGTCTCCCAATTCTTAACCACTACACCAAGCTGCCTCTCAATATATTAATAGTATGATGCAATGTATGTTTCCTCTGAATTATCTCTATATTCAGTTAGGTTTACTGTTAATTAAGTTTCACATATTTGCAGCTTTAATTATGTGAATCAAGTCTAGATATGTTTTGAAGTCATGCTACACATATGGACAATTGCTCAGATAAAATTTAATTGTGTACTAATCATAAATTTAATTGGTGGTCAGAAATAATAGTTCTCTGGATGATAATCAGTATGATATTTATTTATTTACTTACTCATCTTACTAGGCTTATATGCTATTTGAGTCATTACCAATTCTTAGCAGCTTATGTATCCTTAACCTACCTTTGTAGGTAAGATTAGAACAATATATAATTAAAAATAAAATGTAAGCTACTGTTGACTTGCTACACAAAATGCAAAGCAAATAATACACATGATGATTATGGTGTTTAAGGCGTAAATAATAGACTTGACCATTCAGATTGAGCAATGTCTTGTACTATATAGATAACAACTTTACAGATTATTCAAATACTTTATGAAACATTTTAAAAGATTTTTCTTTCTCTTTAGAAGAGGCTACAGAAAGAACTGCTAGCTTTGCAGAATGACCCGCCACCAGGAATGACCTTGAATGAAAAGAGTGTACAAAATTCAATTACGCAGTAAGTATGTGTAATTTTATTACAGATGTGTCTAAGATATGATTTGTAGGAAGATGCAAACATACTTGCCATTATTATATCACTAAATACTTAGTTTGATCCACTTATCCTGTTTATATTGCTATCAGACTTGGATATATATAGTGTTTATTTAGATGCATGTTTTAAAAAGATACATTTTTACCATGAGTTATCGTGTGGCAAGATGGATGCTAATAAATTTTACAAATAAGCAAATACCTCCTATTTATTTTAGTAAGGGAGGGAGAATGCTCCAACATTTTATCACAATTTAAACTTTTTAAACAATCTAGATTTGTGATATTAAGCATGAAATACTGCTTTGTAACATATATAGGCAATATGATAACTATGAAAATAAATGGCAATCCTCAAATTCTACTTATGAATTTATTTATACCTATATGCATAGTCTGTATGAGTGAGATATTTTTTGCTTTGGGGCATTGGCAACACATTTTGTTTGTCCCCTGCCATGAACAGATTGATTATTTTAAAGTTCTACCCATTCTCTCTCTACTACAAGGTGGCAGGACCCATTCATAAGGGGGGCTATGTGATGGTTATCAATGAAGGACTTGTTTTCCCAACTGTTATTTTTGCATATTATTATGAATGGTTGTTTTATTATATTTTTACTTCTGTTAGCTGCCTAGAATTACTGATTGCAAGATGGGTGGCTATATAAATTTACTTAAGGAAATTAAAAAAAATGGTCCAGCATGTGCCAGATGAATGCAGTTGGGTTTCACAGTGTAATAGTTGGAATTCCTGATGATCAGCTGCTGAGGCCTTAATCATCACTGGAATAAGGAGCTGGTGATGGCACTGCACCAGATTATTCCTGTGTGGCCTCTATTTTTTATAGTTCCTTTAAGGTCCCCTGGTTTTTACAGTTCATCTTGTGCATCCCACTGCTTACTGTAGTCATCTTACAGGGAAAAAAAATGCAGTGCATTCTTGATGACCACTAAGAAGCATCAGCTGGTCCAAAATACAGCAGAATGGAAGTATCTTCATATGCTTATGTACATTTCTACTTTGTGAGTTACACTAGTGACCAGAGTGCTTTTGAATGTAATTCAAGGTATTGTTTTCCCATAAAGGCCCTCAGATGGAACAACATTCTCTTGAGACTTATATACCCAACCTTACCTGCCTTTTAAAAGGCATTTGAAGTCTTTTCTCCCCTCAGATATTGGCTCTAGAAATGGTATTACCTATTAGTTGTTGTTTTTTTGTTCCTGACACTTACATATTTATATGTTGTTGTTTTATACTTTTATTGTGTTTATATTTATATATTCTGCAATTTTATTTATATAATTTATATCATATCACTATTGACTATGTTGGCTGAGATTATTGAGATTTTTATTTCGGTAGTAGCTGGTGGATCAACCACATGTTGTTCTCTACCATTTTGGTAAAAGCAGGATGGTTGAGAAATATATGGCTTTAAAGAAAGTAATATGCTCTATAATAATATCTGTAAGCAGTAAGCTGAAGGAAACTATTGCATGCAACATAGGAGTGAGATAAGCAATATTTTAATTTCAATTCCTGTCAGCATCAATACATGTGCCCTATGTAAGGGATTGTGGAAGTTTAATTCCAGATAATCTGCACCAGATTGCTTGTTCCTGACCTAGAGACAAGTAGAATTCTTCAATTAAAGTGAGTAAATATGTTGCAGGAAAATATTGAGTTGGCTTCAGCTAACTTTAGAATTGTTTCATTACTAGAACCACATTCCACACAAGGTTTTTTTTTTCTTCATAGCATTTTCCTACAAGTCTCTTCCCCCCCCCCCAATCAACTAAGTGTTGTTCCATTGGTTATGACAGAAATTGATTGACCCAGCTTATTGTCTGAGCCTGATGTGGGCTGAGAGAGAGTGACTGGTCCAAAGTCACCTAGCTGGTTTTCATGCCTAAAGCAGATTATAACTCACAATCTCCTGGTTTTGTAGCCTGCTGCTTTAACTATTAAATCAGGTATGTCCAACCTCTTGCCTTAAGGCCTGAACAACTGGTAATGCAGCCCCACAAGATATAATAAAAATAATAAAAAGTTAAGGAATTTTGTTGTTTACATATATTAACTATATTATATATTTTATGTTGCCCCAAACAATTCCTCTTTGTTCAGTGTGGCCCAGGCAAGCCAAATGTTTGAACAATCATCCACTAGATCAAATTGCCTCTCACTCCTTACAAGAATTTCTACTCCAGAAATCTCAGCTGATCATAAATGTCTCCCTTCTCTAAGGCAGCAGCATAACAGTGTAGAAATAAGCAAGTAACAAGCAGTGGGTAACTTTAATAAAGGCTGTAAAAAGTTTTAATCTTTTTAGTTTGATTTGTTATTGCGGTATGATGCAGTATATGCATTTATTTAAAAACAGCAGACATATTCAATGAAAACAGGAATTGGAGTTAAAACCTTACTGAATAATCAAGAAGTAGAATTTTATTAGTGTATATTGTGAAGCCCTATTTAGTTGGGCTCAATCAGGGAAGCAAGAAATATGAGTAAGGTATCTTTAATTCTAGGTTGGAATAAATACAGAATCTTGTACACCATAAAGTAATGTTCCACCCTCATTTATAATGATTTCATTAAAGCAGAACTTCTGAATGGTTTAGGAAATTTCTTCATACTTTTTGCCATCTAGCCGCTATTTTGGGAAATGACTTGCTGGTGATTTGTCTTACTTCTTTTGATTGTGAATATCTATTCTTCCATTTCTTTCTCAACCTCCTCACAATTTCTAAGAGGAAAGATGATAATTTGAGAATGATTCAGGAGGCAGTTAAGAAAATACCAGTACATAGTTATCCATTGCTCTGTTGTCAGGGAATTGATAAAACAGCCTAGTGATTCAGAGAAAGGGGATTAGAAATTGAAGAATTATCTGTCTTGGATTCAACAGTCCAATTGTTAATACAATATTTCTGTAATCTAACTTCATTATTTTTCAAAGGAGAATATTTATGGAGAATATTACATTTGGTAAAGTACATAAAATGATCTTTTTTTAAAAAAAGGAGCCTATAATTCTAGGATTTTTAAGATGCGTTTTTGAAATTGGGGACTAGGGTAGCAATTTGCAAACAGTAACTTACATCAGGTTACTTACAGAAGATCAAATACTATAGTTATATGTTTTCATCATTGTAAACCATTTTCTTTCCAAAGGTGGATAGTAGACATGGAAGGGGCTTCTGGAACATTATATGAAGGGGAGAAATTTCAACTGCTATTTAAATTCAGTAGTCGGTATCCATTTGATTCTCCTCAGGTAATTTATTATATGCTCAATTAAATTATAAAATATTTGGTAACATTGAATGTTTATTTTATTGAATTTTTTGTTAGGATAGCTCTTTAGAAAACAGCAAGAATGGTTTAATTATATATCTGGTACTTGCAGGGGTTGAATGAAAAGCAATGTGTCCAATAGTGTAAGACATCAAAAGATAGCAATAATGATATGGTAGAAGCTTTGAGGTGTTCTTTTTTGGCAAGTTCTTGTTCAGAAATTCCTGTGCTATTGTTTGTAAAGTGGAAACCTACAGTGAGTATTTGTTGGCAGGCTTTAAGCAATGTGCTGTGATTGAATTTTTGACTGCTGAATGTGTCTTTCCATTCACCACTAAATGTAGATTTTTTTTTAATGTTGATGACTGCATTAACTTTAATATGTGTTTTTGAACCAAGACATGGAAAGTTGGTGAATTGTGAACAGTTGATTTTCAGTTTGTGATAAAAAATGAGGTTAGCTGAGGAGTTTCATTTGAGAACGGTTGATGAACTAGGACAATTGGCAAATTACTCAAAGAGAAATTGCTATCCATCTCATGGGAACATAAGGGTCATAATATTGATGTGCTTTAATATTGGAAGCTTTATCAAGATATATTTCTTGCATGCTGACAGCAGAAATGGAAAGTTGAAGCTTTGGTTGATATTTGCCAGCACTTGAGACATGCTACTGGAATGAAATTGAAGACATTCTTTATATCATTATGACAGCTGATAAAACATGTTTGTCATTATGGCCCAGAAATAAAGCATTAGTCCATTCAATTACATCATAAAGCTTTACCTGTAAAAAAAAATTCAAAACTCAGGCTTTAGCAGGAAAATTCATGTGTTACAGGGTTTTTTTCCATGTATGTGTATGTGCACACACATAGATGTTACTTACATAGATTTCCTTGAATCCAAAGTCACAATTACCTCAAAACTTTACACTGCAAGAAACATTTCAAACAATCAGAGCTGAGAAGGAAATGTCCTGTAATGTAACAACACTAGCGCTCAGCCCTCACAAGCAATCCACAAGATAATTGCAAAGTTGGATCTCTCCATCTTACCAACTTGGCTCTGTGCGACTTCCATTTTTTTTCTAAATTAAAGAAATATTTCCATGGGATATTTGACACAATGAAGAGGTTAAAAAGTACTATTAAGCAGCCAAGTTCTGAACTGCATATTCTGAATTGCAGAGTTGCATAACACATGATCAGGATTGATTACTCTGTCAGTAGAAAGTATTAAGATTCTTTTAAGATGTTTAACTTATATAACCTGTATGAATAATCTGTATAGAAAACTTTCAGTTAAAAAAGCTAAGAGTAGTAAAAACAAAATAGGAAAAAAATCATATGGATGACATTTACCTGACAAGAATAAATATATAAAGGTGTATTTTCTTCTGTGAGAACCTAATTAAATAAAGGAGCAAAGAAGCAATGCTTTTCTAGCTTTAAACTGAAACATTGGGTACATGACAAAATAAAATGAGACTGATGAAAGCAAATATATTTATTCTGGGCAAAATAAAAACTACCAGTTTTATTTTAAATATAAATATAAATACATTCAAAATCCCTCAAAAAATAGCAAGGTTAGCAGTTATTGACACTTTAAATGAAAGAATGTACACCGCTACACAATTTATGATATCAAGCAATTTCCTATGCTGGAATTATTTACTTGTATAATTTAAAATATTTTAAATTTGTGTATTGACATGTAACTCTTAAATTAAATCCATTTCTTCTCGCATATCAAATTGTCTCAGGTGTGACTGTGGAAGAGGAAAGGAGTTGACACTTTAAAAATTGGATTTTATGCTGTATTACCATTATAACTTCTATTTTTGATTTTTAGTATGTCCTTTGGGTTGGTTTCTTTAACAATGATATACATATTATTTTAACTGCTGGAATTTTCAGCTAATATACTTACAATTAGTTATATAAGAGAACAAATAAATACACAATATGTGTTTATACAAATGTACTGGGTTTTAAACTAAATAATGGAAATTAGAGTAACTAGGACATTATTAAACCCTATGACCATAAACTGGGCTCATCTGGAAAGACTGAGCAAGGGTGGGGGGACTTGAACAATTTCATTACTAGCTATATAATCACAGTACAGATACTCTTTGACTTACAGCAGTTCATTTAGTGGCCATTTGAAGTTACGGCACTGAAAAAAATGACTTATGACCATTTTTCACATTTAACAACCATTGAGACATCCTCCTGGTCATGTGATCAAAATTCAGGTGCTTGACAACTGACTCATTTCTAATGGTTGCAATGTCCCAAGTCATGTGATCACCTTTTGTGACCTTCTGACAAGCAAAGTCAACGGGTAGATTGTGATTGTGCAGTGATTTACTTAATAACTTTGGCAATAAAGGTCGTAAGATGGGGCAAAACTCACTTAACAATTGTCACTTAGCAACAGAAATGTTGGACTCAGTTGTGGTCGTAAGTTGAAGACTACCTAATTAGGCAATAGCACCTGAAGTAGCAGAATGTACATAACAGAATATAACAGAGAAACAGAGTTGAAAGAGAGATTGGAGGGTTTCTAGTCCAGGAGACCATATGCCATTTCAGGCAAATGGCTGTCCATTGTTGGAGCACCGACAGTTTATGGAGGCAAGCCATTCCATTGATTAATTGGTCTCACTATCAGGAAATTTCTAGGTTCGTTCATTCCTTAATTAGTTTCCATTCATTGCTTTTTATTCTGCCTTCAAGTGTTTTGGAGAATTGGTTGACCCACTCTTCCTTGTGACAGACCCTCAAATATTGGAAAACTGCTGTCATTGTCACCCCTAGTCCTTCTTTTCACTAGATTAGACATACCCAATTCCTACAGCTGTTCTTCATATGTTTTAGTTTTCAGCCCCCTAATCATCTTTACAATCATTCTAGATTCTAAACATCATTTTTATATTGTGGTGACCAAAACTGTATGCAATATATGTGTGTCTATTATAAAATAGTATTTCATATTATTCTATCTGTTAATGCAGGCTGTGACTGCTGGCTTTTTTGTAGTTCCAGCACACTGCTGGCTCATATTTAAGTGGTTGTCCAATAGGACTCCTAAATCCCTCACATTTACTACTATTGAGCCAGCTACCACCTATTCTGTACCTGTGCAACATACTGAATGATAAAATTTGATTAAATTCAAAACTGAATGTGATATATGAAAGATCAAATTTGATTCATACCCTTCTAACATCTGTTATTTTACAGATTATGTCCATGTTTGAATTCAAATGTTTTTGTATAAAAATTGAATATTTTACAAATAGCATTAGTATACTTTTTGATCTATTACGTTAATAAAATATTAACTTGATTTTTACTTTATAGGTTGTGTTTACTGGTGAAAATATTCCTGTTCATCCTCACGTTTATAGCAATGGACATATCTGTTTATCTATTCTAACAGAAGACTGGTCTCCAGCTCTTTCAGTGCAATCAGTTTGTCTTAGCATTATCAGCATGCTTTCAAGCTGCAAAGAAAAGGTATGAATTTAAAGATAAGGTTGTTATAAGTTTAATGATAGTAGGATGCCCCACTCTGAACCAATTATGTTTCTTTTTCTCTTTAATGACATTTAGTGGACTCTAAAATAGGTATATTGTTAAATAATGCACTTCAAAAAATTTCAGAAGGGTTAATTTATGTAACTACAATACAAACTAGTTAGATTACAACCAACCATTTTTCTTTCCAACCTTTGGAGACCAACAAAACAGAATAATTGTCTTCAAAAGAATGTTCATTACCTAGTTTCACTGAAATTAGTGTCAAGTTCCTGCTTCACGTTGCCACATTTCTTAATTTACATAGAGTATCGAGAAACCCTGAAAAGTTCATTGGACAGCTTATGAATGTCACAGCTGATAATGGGTATTTAGTGAGATGTTTGTACTGTACACTTAGTAAGCTTAATATTAATAACATTTTGGATGCTATCTGAAGCAAATTATAAATGTTTTAAAACCCTGTAATGGTTTTCTTTCTAAAATAAAATTCAGCTTGTAGCAGAGCACACTTGGGCACAAATGAAATTATGATGGCTCTTTGTATAGTTGCAGATAATTTCATTGGTATATGTTGCAGTGTTATAATATCTAAATTGTGTCTTGCTTAGATTGAGACTATTCATGTATGACTTAAAGAGAACAAATATGAAAACATATTCATGCAATATAGCAATCTTTCTGACATGCTATTCATACTTGATATCTTTTACTAAAAATCTGTGTGTGTGTGTGTAAAGCGAAATGCCATTCACACTACATCACGAAATCTTCAGAATCGTAAAGCCTACAAACTTGACATTTGGCATGTATGTTCCTCTTGGTTTCCAGGTGCTAGCTAAGAAAGGATTTTTTGAAATGACCATCAGATCATTAGTATTTCCGGGGGGGGGGAGATAAAAGGAGGGTTTGGGAGGAAGGGATGGAGACAGAGAGAGTGCAGGGGAAGGAAGGAGGGGCTTGGCTGAGGAAAAAAAGAAAAAACTGGAAGGGAATAGGGTAGCAGAGGCTTCTGTAGGTCAAGCCTGAGTGAAATAATGGGATAGGATAGCAGAGGCTTCTGTGGGCCAAGACTGAGGGGAGATAAGGGACTAGAATAACAGAGGCTTCTGTAGGGCAAGCCTGAGGGAAAGAAAAGGATAGAATAAAGAACGCTTCTGTGGGACAAGCCTGAGGGAGAGAAGGGGATAGGCTAGAGGAGAATTTTGTGGAGCAAGCTGAGAGAGAGAAGGGGATAAGATAGGAGAGGTATCTGTGGGGCAAGCCTGAGGGAGAGAAAGGGATAGGAGAGGATCAATAGGGCCAGCCTGAGGAAGAGAAGGGGGGTAAGATATGAGAGGCCTCTGTATAGCAAGCCTGAGGAGAGAAGGGGAGAGGAGAGGCTGATCAGAACTACTCATTAATTTTCAAGCTATGTGTCGATTTATCAAGCCCAATCACATAGTTTCGTAGCAGAGTACAGGTATTCAGCTATTATATTATAAATACTAGATAATGCATATGCAGAATACAGTTAGAAGAACATTTTCTTCCAATATATTCAAAGTGTGTGGTGAGGAAGAAGTAGTAGGAGGAAGACTTCTGATTATTATTTCCTTTAGAAACTGCTATTGAAAGTTTGGTAGAGAAATATTTTCTTCTATCGTTTAGCCTGCTTATGTATTATTCACTTATTTATTTCTTTATCCAGTTTATTTTTTGACACAACTTGAGGGTTTTTCCAAACCTGTACTGGTTACATGCTAGTTTTCTCTACTTTATTTAAACATGACTAAGAGAGGTATTACATTTGTTTAAATATGTGTGCCTGTAAGTTAGGAATTTTAAAATCTCCTGAAAAATTAACAATTTATTCCCTCATGTTGTGTAAGAGTCAAGGAGAAGTCGAAAGTATTGCAAACCAGGAATAAAATCTTGGAAAGGAACTTATATTTTTTCCAGGGCGCTGCTCAGGGGAGTCCAAGCAAGGGTTAAATACAGCCAAACTGCCCAGAGCTGAATTGAAACTTTAAGCCACGCCTCTGGTGCTGATTATTCCCAGATTTTTCAATTCAGCTAGCCCAGTGAACGGGCTTTAAGTTTCTCTTCATTTGTTTTATTAGCTTGGACTCTCTTGAGCATTTACTGTGAGTATTTTCAGTTTAGGGGGTGATCAGGTTGAGTGAGTGTAATTAGATTTTTTAAATTCGTTTCTAACTCGCTCTTCGGTTCTCCAGCGTCCTGCTTAACTCCCAGGCGCCGCACGGAATGCAGGCAGCTGCTGGGGCAAGCGCGTGGGTCGGAGTGCTGACGCCAGCACTGTTGCGACCCTTGCTGGGGAGGGGGAAAGCCCCGCTGAGGCTCCTGCGGTTGGCGTCTGTGCCTTTGGTGGCCAACGTGCAGGTGTGGTGCCTCAGAGCTCCGGATGGTTTGGCAGCATCTTTTAAAGTAATTAGATCTTCCGGTCGCCATTTTAGGAGCTATTTGCAGTTTCGGTTTCTGATTTCAACCTCATGGCAGCTGCCTGCAGCCTGATTCACAGCAGGTGCCGCCAGGAGCCACTCTTTGTCCAGCCTGGCTGGCAATTAGGTGTATCCCTTTCACCTGAGCGGCAAGGATTGGGGCCGCTGGTCACAAGTCTCATTCCTGCAATGCTGGGAGCTGTTAATGCTTGTTCTTTATTCCACCTGCTGAATATTGCTGCTGTAATCCCTTCACGTCTCTTCAGAGTGTCTGTTGGTTTTCAGGGTTTGCAGGGCTTTTGCAAGGTGGTGAGTGGAGGTTGTCCCTGATTATCTTGGCCCACAGTTACTAATGGCTGAGCAGGCTTCCAAGGATTCCACCCAGGCAGAGGGTTCCTCCAGGGTTTTCTCCAGGCAGGCTGGTGTGGCTGCCAGGGAGGCCATCAGGGGCTCCAAACCATACTCCAGGCCAGCCCCTAAGCAGGGATCAGGGCCGGACAAGGATGCTTTACGCCGTCAAAAGGCCCTTGAAAAGCAATTCTCCAAGGCCCAGCACCAAATGCAGTCCTCCCAATCGGTGTCTCCTGAGGAGCCCACCATGGAGGTTCCTCCGGCCCAACCAAGGCCTGTTTCAGACAGCGAAGATGAGAGCTGGGAGTTTTCCCCCACAGCTTCCATGTCTAGGGCAGTATCTCCAGGGGCCTCGATGGTGGATCAAGCTGATCTTTTCGCTTGCCCTAAAAGGAGGCCCTGCCCCGGGTCCCTTGGCTCCCCAACTTCCTTCTACACGGCCCAAACCCAGAGTTCAGTCCATAGAGCATCTTGGTCCT